AAACCGTTGAAAATTGCCAATCAAAATGACACATCAGGAACATATGGCCTCATGTGCAAGCAGGGGTGACTACAAAGTTACATCCTGTATCGGTTGATAGCGCGTGAATATATTTTAAATTTATTTACCTTGAACTTATTATAATACACAATATTTTTAAATATTATCGTTACAATTTTTTTCTACTCATGATGTCAAACAAAAATTTATCAACGGAAATATACCTATTTTGATACATAAAATTTAAATATATATATTTAAATTATTTATATTTATATAAAATAATATAATTAAATAAATATATTTGTAAAAATGAATTTTGATGACTAAATTACAAAGAATATACGAGGTTTGATCAATAAATACTCGGACTGTGTTAATATTTTTATCAATTAAGATAACGAAACCCCGATGTCATTCGATAAAATAACTTATAACGATGATTTAAGAATTGGTTTGAAATCGATAACATTATTTTTTTTTATTTTAAGGCATTTTTACGAAAATATATTTCAGTTGTGTGGTGAATTTTGTAATGGAAGGAATAGAAGAACAACGTGTGTGGGTGAAATTTTGTTTTAAATAAGAAAAAAGTTCTAGTGAAATTTTTGAATTTTTCAGCAAACTTTTAGAGATGATGCCCTGTCTTGGACAACAAGTTTTGAGTGGTTTAAACGGTTTAGGGAAGGTAGAACATCCGTTAAGGATAACGAACGAACTGGTAGACCCTCGACCAGTAAAACAAATGAAACTGTTGCTCGTGTTCGTGAAATTATTCAAAATTATTGTAATTATTATTATATGTAATATACTATTAGAAGTTGCAGAAGACGTCGGAATATTTTATGATTCGCGCCAATAAATATTAACCAAAGAAAATGGAAAAGAACCAAAGAAAAGGCCAGAAAGTTGGAAAAGTTGTTCTTGGATGTTGCATCACAATTACGCCTTACAGCTCATTACTCATTCGTCAGTTTTTTAGCAAAAAATCAGACTCTAGAGTAGTTCCGCAAACACCATACTCACCTGATCTGGATCCGTGCGACTTTTTTTTATTTCCGAAGTCGTTTTCAAATAATGGATGATATTAAACAAAATACGGAAATCAATCTTAAGAACATTCTAATTAGTGCCTACCAGGAATATTTTCAAAAGTGGAAAATAAGATAGTAGTGGTGTATTGCTTCCCAGGGAGATTATTTTGAAGGTGATAATGTGTATTTAGAATAATATTGTTTTATATTTAAGTCAAAAGCTCTTTTTTCAAATTTTATCAAATATGAAAAACAATATCTTTAATATAAAGTAGTAGTTTCAAGTTTCTAGCCACATGACTTTTGGAATTATGACTAAATAACTAAAATCTGAAAAGTGGAAGTCTCGTTTGCAGCGTATTTTTACCGTTTCACAACGGTTTTTCCTCACGCCTGGTAAAACTATAAAGATTTTAAAAAAAATGACCTCTCTAAAGTATCACCACATGCTAATTTCAAATCTCTGTAGTTCCTAGAAGAAACATTTGGACCAGTATTTCTATCTGAAAAAATGTTAAAAAAAATAAACAAAACATCATTGTAAAACCATAAGATTCTTCACTGCACTCAGAATCTAAAAGTAATCATGTGATGAAATATTTGTGTGTACAGACGGGTAATACGTTATACACGCAATAAAAATATAAAATCAAAGTGAACAATTTAAATTTAAAAGCATTAAAATATCTTAATAATTGTTGAATTGTACGGGTTATGGGTGTCTATAAACATTAAGGGACATGAAAAATATAAGGGCTTCAGCACCGCCAGTTTTTTTCATTAAAATTGCGCCGCTGGGCTTATGAAAACAAAACTATACTCATTACTCAAATTGAATTGTTTTTATGTAGGTACCATTAATAATTCTGTAATGACCATCGTTTTATGTAATAGCTTTAAACGTAGTTAACGAAATGTGTACGAATAGCCAATAGATGGAAATATATGACTTAATTTTTTTTAAGAATGGTCTAATTTAAAAAAAATGTCTAACCAAATATATGTTATTGTTTAAGACAAATAAATTGGACTTTTATGTATAAAATGTTATTATTTATTTTTTGAATTGCAAAACGTTGAGTTTTCAACTTGAATGTTTACTTAAGTTTTAATAGATTTGAATCATATGGGATTGTTTGTCTTAACCAAGTTTACCAAGTTTACTCATCATACGGATTTGGGGGCGGAGAATCACATGAATGTGTATTGACTATTTTTAATCCTTTTGGCTTTGTTGGAATATAATATTTTACCCTTGTTATTTCTGATTAGTGTTGCTTATGAATCATGTTCAATATTATTTATTATAAAAATTATTTTAGTAAGACAATCAAAAAAAAAAAAAATTACTTAACAATTAGAATTGTTAGGATATCATGAAGGAATTTAATTAAATTAAATTTTTTAATAATTGTTTTTACGACTGTTTAATATTATGTACATTGAATCAAATACAATTTTAAATAATAAAAAAAATTGAATGTTGGGTAGCAATAAAAAAAACCCTTCTACTAACACAGATCAGCCTCTGAGCAGCTACAATGTATCTAATAAATTATAATCCATGTAAATATATGTGACTGGACTTAGCTAATTGTTTTTCATTCATCTATAAATTATTTGAGCTATTTATTGGGCAACAATTATGAACTGATTATTGATGATTAATTTAGTAAAAACCAAAACGGTAAATATCCGTTTTATTGTTAATTATTCGTCCATCATTATTCATGCAATAGAATTATCATATCACATACTGTTGCGTGCGTTCGCTACGTATGGGTCTTCAAGTTGGGAGAAGGCAAGAGTCGGCCAGGAATTAATAATGGTATTCAAATTTAAATTTTTTTTTAAAAGATTGTTATCATACAATTTTGTTAATATTTTTGTAATAAATCTTTGATTTATGTACACACGTAATAGAAATACGATCAATTATAAATGTATAAATAATATACAGGAACGTATTTACATGTTTCCTGGGTGTAGGCCTGGGAAAAATTGTCGCTATAAATAACTAAAATAATATACAGCGCTAACCTAATTATTATTGAATTATCTACCTACTATAAAATACAAATTAGGTAGCTATGCATAACAATTTTCATTGAAATACTAAAAAATAATTTCTTAAGATTTAAACCATTTTTATTAATAGTTAATTATAAAATTCATTCTTTAAATTTTCCGCTGTTTATAATGCTTGCATATAAATACTCCACTGTGGTTACGTAAAATACATTATATTTTGACAATTTTAATTGTTGCAGCTTACAGCAATAAATTACGATATTTCAGTAATAAAAAAAAAAAAATTACTAAACATTTCAAATATTTGTTTTTTTATGTCACCGAGATCACGGAATGCTGACACAAACGCGAAAATCAAACGAAAAAAAAAATTGCATTAACAATTTAAAACGACCATGTTAACAAATATATTACAACTGTTATATTTATAACTATTATAATACTGGTACGATGCAATGCTGTACCGTAACTGTATTCTTACTTATTATCCCGAACATATTCCAAAACCTTGGTCGATGCTATAAAGTTTAAAATAAATGTCTACGTTCTATTAAGTATTCGTATACAGGGTATGTTGAAATACAGTAGTGTTGAAATGGTGATTAGGAAGAGGAGTTTTGGCCAAAGCTAACCCATGCTCGTAAACAAATAAATTACAATTGGAAAGAATTAAAAAGTTCAATATATATGCGCGTACTGTACAAAGTGCACATAATACACACAGTATGTAATAAATAATAATCAACGATTGAGTTTTAAAAAAAATCGAACACCCTCTAAAGAGGCCACCGTTCGTACAGTAGAAGATGTGTTGTTTGGCCAGTCGGACACATCCACCAAAAGCCCAACGTGAAGCATTTGAGACAATGGTGTATATAGGGGGAGGGGGCTAGTAGGCTACAGCTCCTCGAGTTGTTTTAAAAAACTTAAAAATTATTTTAAACGTATGTTATATTTTAATGGTGATTTATGCTTATTTAGAATTTGCGTCCAACGTCAAATCGTTTTGGGATATTCTGTAAATGAAATGTAGATAAGTACTTACTGTGTCTTGTTAGTAATTCTTAGATAGCAGTGGTAATTTAACTCTGTCCACAGTAGCCCCTTCCGAAAATATTTTCTGTATTCGCCACTGATTTGAGACGATACAAAAGTTCTTTCAGTTAAATTGTTCGCAGGGTCAGCTTTACATTCAATCGATGGGTGCGATGGATAGCCAAAATCAGTAGGACGCGAGAGACGCGTCAAAATTAGAATTAAATTCGATTAAACGTCGGCAACGCTAATTATCTACTAGGTATATATAGAAAAAAAAATAACAGATTTTCACTCCTTGATTTTACATACATTTCATTATTTATATTATTATTATTATTTATTATTATATCGATATGCACGGAGTGGCCATGCTTAAAATTGAGATTACAGTTTTATAAACTATCACTATATTATAATTATCATTATTATGTTTGTTCTTTGTATGATTTACAAATATATAGTAATTATGCACGTTTGAAAATTAATTTTGAGCACTTTTTATTTATGAATGGAGCTTAGACCCTCTACAACTCCACCAATTCTGCTTGTTTAAGTGGTTCAAGAGGGAGGGGTGCTGAAATAATTCTTGCACTGGGCACTGAATGAGCTAAAGCCGACGTTGATTATTCAGTAGCATTGTAGACCAGTAAAATTATGTTCGTTATATCAGTTTAGATTCTTCGGCTGCTTCTCGTAATGGAGTATGATTATGAATGTCCGAAAGAGCGTTCGAAGTACATCTTGATTGATGGGCTCAAAATAATTCTTAACTGGATTCATCGCCGTGCCGGCAGATTTGAACAAAAAAATGGCGGCGATCCGATCGATATCACGTTATCATCGTTCGGCCATCGCGTAGATATCACAACTACAGTGAAACAATATTATTATGATATATTCATGTACATAATAATGATAACGAAATTTTCAAACTAAAAACATTTTGTCGTCATCATAATATAATTGAAATTAGATCGTCCGAAACAGCCCCTCGACCGAATGCTGTCGTTTCTATAGCCACGATGGACAAAACTGCCGTGTTCAAGGCGTACGTGAAAACAATCAAAACGAGAAACAGAGCTTTCGGGTCACCGGCCCCACCGCAAGCGGACATACTTAGGCAACAGCGTAAACCGCGTAGGGACGACTTTTCACGCAGGGCCAAGGACATTGTTAACGACCTGTCCAGGCTGACGGATTTCTTAAATCGCCATTACAAGGACTACATCGATGTACAGGCATTCAACCAGCACACGACGTTGACGGACGCGGACCGTGATAAAATTGACATCGGTGCGCAGCATATCATCAAAATGTGCAGTCAGCAGGTGAACGCGATCAAAAAGATCCTGAGTGGTGACTGTGGCCAGATCAATGATCACAGGCGGCAGATTGTGCGGTACGTAGAATGGCGCCTCAAATCTGTTTCCAAACTATACGCTGAGATTAAAGCAACCCGTGCTCAGAGGTGTGCTGAATATGAAAATGTTTCAAAGTTAAGTAATTTAGCACACGGTTTCGATCAACCAAAGGAAACAGTTATTGCTACAGCTGTTGAATATGAAGCTGCGGATAGGCAATATGCTGCTCAAATTGAAGAAGAGTTATCACCTGAAGAACTACAAATGTTTGAAGCTGAAAATATAGAAATGTACAACGAGTTAAATCAGTTATCAAATGAAGTATGTACGCCTTGCACTCTAGTCAGAATCATACCAATCTGAAATACATTACGTTAGTGTTATTTGTTTTCAGGTAAGAAATATAGAGTCCAAAGCTGTAAGGATAGCTGAGTTGCAAGAGTTGTTTACGGAAAAGATACTAGAACAAGACCAAGATCTCGAGAGAATAGACACAATTGCAGTAAACACCACAGAAAATATTGTTGATGCTAATACAGAAATAAGATCTGCTATACAAACCAATGCTGGTTTAAGAGTGTATATATTGTTTTTTATATTGGTGTTATCATTTACCTTATTATTTTTAGATTGGTATAATGATTGAACATAATTAACATTGTTTGACCCCTTCCAACAGATTATATACACTATTTTGGAAATATTGTAATTATTAAATAAGTGTTGGGTAATTAATTGATAATATAGCGTATTAAGATTTTGTTGAATCATCAATTTTATAATATTGTACATTTTATTAAAATATCATTTGAACAAATTAAGAACTTACTTATAAAATTTGAATCGGTCTTTCAAACATAAAAAATGAAATAAAAATGAATAATCATGTTTTTGTTCTACACATATTTTAAAATGAATATAATAAATCCAAAGAAAACAATAGAAACTAAACATATAGAAAGTAAGTTTACAAGAAAATACTTGTAAAACGGTAGTATTAATATTGAGAAAAAAATATATTACTGTAATAAAATTAATCCATTACTTTTATCATACATTTGTAAAATTTTAATTCTATATTTTAGATCAATACACAAATTAATTGTGAAATTCATTGTAAATTGGTTACAGCAAACTTGTAAGAAAAGTCAAATTCATCATACTTTATTATTATTAAACTTCATTAGTTTCAACACAAGGAGAGTAATAAAAATAAAATACAAATTTTATAATTCACTTTATTCAGTTACATGTAACATTTAGAACTAACATTCTCAAGTTCTTAAGTATTTTTTTATTAATTTTTTTTATATTTTAATTGAACTAACTATATACAAACATTGATTGTTGTTAAATTATTTTCTAAAAAAAAAATGTTTTCATCATAGCAGCATTATAGTCAAAAATTACAGTTATACACAAATATATATAATTTAATATTGATATTGCTTTCAATAGTACTTTGCATCACTTATAAATGATTCAGTTATGGAAAAAGTAATAAAAATATAATAAAGAAGATAAAAAGTGGCAATAAGATAATGCATTAGTAAATTGAAAAGGAAAAGGCCCAATTTGTTGTATATTTGAAGGAACTTAATGATTTTTTTAAATGCCAAATAATAATCAAATGGCAAAACGCTCAATGTATGCAAGTAGTTAAAATACTGATGAGTACAATAGAGGAATTTTTATACACCACGTGTTAATCATTTTGAACCTCAGTCATAATCAGTAAAAAATAAATATATATAAATATATGCACCACATATAAATATATACTAAATATATAAACTGACAATAGCTCAAAAATAATTATTTTTGATTTCATATAAATTATATGAATAATAATAAATATTTGAAATTTCATTAATGTTTGCAACTGAGATTAAGTACTCTATCAATTGAAACACTGCAAATGATACGCTCAGTGCACGAAAGCTAAAATCGTTCAGTGCTGGAAGATGTCAAAATATATTCGTTAGGGTTTGTATTTAACCAAAGGTATATTTTTTGTTTGAAGACATTTGTCACACACCCATTCAGCGTATACTTCGGCTGTAAGTAGTTGGAACGCTGGTTCCATCAACCCGGTACAAACCCTGAAAAAAAATGATTTAACAAATATGTTAAAAATATTAAACTTTATTTTTAATAAATGAAACTTACCGATGAAACCAAAAATTACAACCAGATTCACATAAAACAGCTTGGTCATTGTCATGTACTTCTTTATGACAGTTGCCACATGGATATATTGGTGGGGCATTAGGGTTTTGTGGGTTGAACACCATTGGTTGATCATGAGGGTATATCTAAAGTAATTAAATAAAGTAAATTAATAATCATTAAATATAATTCAACTGCATGAGTTATATTAAATCTGTAATTATTGATCCATAACCACTTTTATAGTAATTTGAATACAAATTAAAATATATTTTAATTGTTAAATTTTTGAAAAAACTGTATGATTGTCATAAAAATTTAAATGTATTGTTTTTAAGGTTTTGACCAAAATACGTCATTTAAGTGACAAGCAAAAACAGCTGTTATGGGCTAAAAAGTATGGAATGTACTCATCAAAGTATGATGTGTCATTTGCTATAAAAGGTTGATTTAATATTATTTTCAATTTTACCTTTCCAGCCGATACTGGCATTGGCTTAGAATTAGGTCCAGGTCCATAACCACCTGATGGTTGACTACTAGGTATTTGAGATTGATGCATCATAGGAGGCATAAGTCTATGTTGTTCAGAAGGTTGAGGTGGACCCCGCATCATTTGAGGACAAGGCATACCTCTTGGACAGTTCATCATATTACTGGGCCCTGGCATACTATTGCACTGTTGATTTGACATTGGCTGCCTACAAGCCATAGAAACAGATGGCATATTGTTTGATCCCGGACAAGGGGGACCTCGTACTGGACACCCATTATTGTCTACTGACATATGTGGGTTCATATCATTCATGTCTGCTGAACTTACAGGCATGTTCATAGACATTGGACTATTTGTTAAAGGTGAAGGACCTCCACGGCCCATCATCATGGGACTACCACCAGGTCCCGAGTTAGGATGACCGTTAAGTGGTGAAGGACCCATTGTCATAGGACTAGACATTGGTGGATGGATGTTCATATTGGTGTTCTGAGGTATAGGACTACCCATTGGTGAAGCACAATTTAAAGATGGTTTTACCATGGCAGCACATTCCATAGGGCTATTGCCGCGCATATTTGGCACCATATGAGGACTACCCATAGCAGAAGGACTTCGATTCATTGACAAGGCATGCGGACTGTTACCTGGAGCACCACAGCTCATCATAGGTGGTCCACACACCATTGGGTTTCTATGAGGGCTACTACCACATGGTCCACCCATTGGGCTACCCATTGGAGGGCCACAGTTCATAGGTGAGCCACCCATTTGGTGACAAGGACTACCAGACATCATAGGTCGAGAGTTCATCATTTGCCTGTTCATTTGACTTGTCATTACTTGTGGTGGAGTATCGTCAAAAGGGTTAGAAGCAACTATAGTATCTCCATAACCTATAAAATTAAAATATAATTTATTAAAAGTATGATTATTACTAACGCAACTTAAACAAATTGAAATGTATGATTGACAAAGTACAAAAGTAACGGAATAGGATGGTATAAATAATTAATAAAGGACATTCATTTGAAAATGTTTGATTAAACTAAGTCAAAAAGTGTTTATTTAATTAAATTAATTAAAATTTAATTAAAAAAAATGTATTAACTTTTTTATTTATACTGGCATTTAATGAATCATCATTTGATGATTACGAATACCAAAAATATTCCAAATTATTACTATTACCTCATCATATCTTAATAAAATTGAAATATTTAATTTATAAAAGTAAATCTACCAATACAAATTATTTTTGAAAACAATTAAATTTGTAATTAAAATTTATTACTTAATCCTCCACGGACAAGTGGTACCAGGTGAACACACAAAATATGCTGATTTAAAAATTAATAAGTTAGGAAATTTGACTAAAATTATAAAATTGGTATTATATGGGCACAGCTTTTTTTTCAGAACTGATTAAGTTTTTTACAATTTAAATGTTTTTGTTGTAATTTATGCCTTTTTACAATATAAAAACAAATAAAAATATATAATATAAATTTATGAAAAACACCTCTTGTCATGGAGGCTTAAGTAATAACTTAATATTTAAAAGTATTAAGTTTCATTTAGTATTTAAAAAAAATGGTATACTTATAAGCTATTTATTTTACAATATTATTAGAATTGCATTTGTTGGATAAATCAAATAAGAATTATTAAGTAATATTCCAATTGGAGTATTATAACAGAAACCACATTTTCTCATTAGTTTCTATTAGGATATTAGGTTATCACTTATTTGCATAAATACTAAATAGTATAAATATATTGCAAAAAAAAATCATAGTTAGATTTAATTTAGCCTCATTTTCATTATTTATATTTTAGAAAAATATACTATGAATTATATAAAACAAAATTATTGGAAGTTTACTAGAAACAAGTTTTCAAACTTAAAAGGAAAGGAACTACCTGAAAAAAAAAACACAGAATTTTACCATTTCTTTTTATATGAAAAAAATGTATGTGAAAATCAGTGATAGAATCAAAAAAATACAAGACTATCTATTTATTCAGAAGGTGACCAAATATACTTGAATTATTTTACATTATTATGTTATTATTCTTATACTAAAAAAAACAGGATATGTTGAACAATTTTAAAATTATAATAACATTTTTTATACAAGAAATTATAAGAAAAATTTTATTTTCATTTAATATTGTATGAGAATACATAGTTCTATACATAAATAGTAATTAAATATAAATAAATTTAAAATAGATTTTTACTAATAATCTTGTTAATTGATAAATAAAAACTATATAAGTTTTCTTAGATTGGTAAAATTAATATTTATTATGATTTTGACTCATAGTAGTGACTATTTCTATATTATCATTGGTTTTTATTGTATACTTTAATAAGCTAATTGATAAACAACTGTTAAATCGTTATATATATTTTTATACAGAAATATCAATAGGAATAGTTTTTATTCATTATTAATGCCGGTTAAGACACTTTAATTTAATGCATCTAAAATAAAATAAAAATATTTTAAAATCAAAAAGATATATAAATTAAATTAGTTAACATAATTTAAATTAAAGGTTAAGAATTAATACTTTTAAAATAAGACCTTTCTTTTTAATTTTGACTATAAATATATATGGAAATCTTTTTTATTGATTGTAGCTACAAACATAAATAAATTACAGTATGATTTCATACTAAATAAATTTTCCTTATGATTAGTCATGCTATGACTTAGGAAAGGGCACCCTGAAAAAACCTTAGATCAAAAAGGACGCCGTAAGTCGAAAGTTTGGGAAGCACTGAAATAGATGATTTTGTTTATTTATTTGATGAAAAACATCCATCTGTAATGTATTAATACATTTAATAAAATAGAAAAATCTCATTTCAAGTAAATTTTTTTTATTTAAAATGGGGAAAAACAATGTGCTTTAACTTTTAATTATTAACAATAAAAATCAAACATTAATATATAAAAATATAAATTGAACATTTCATTGCAATAAGATAAATTTTATATATTTATAATATGTACTTATCCAAAAATTAAAATAGTAGTGTATTTATTAAGTAATATGAAGTTTAAATATAATAATTGTATTATTAGTGTGGGTATTTTCTGTTCCGTGGGATTTCTAAATTAATTTTAAAAAATGTTAAGCATTTAATAAAATTAATTTTTATGAAAATATGTATGAAGTCAAATATTTACAGCTATAATTGTATTATAATCTAATTGAAAAATCAAGAATTGACCACAGTAAAATTAATGAAAAAACAAATTAAATTTGTTAAGGAATTAAGTATATGATAGGTTTGAAGGAAAATAGGTTGAAACATTAAATGGATTTTGAAGTCAATGCAATGTATTTGACATGCAACCATTGAGAAAATATAAAATATATTTAATATTATGACTTCACAACAGAATAAATTATAAATTTAATAGAAAATGTTTGAAGTGAAAAGTATCCAGCTTAAATAATTTAAAGTTGAAGTCTAAATAGGAAAATATTTGAATGAACATTTTATATTTAAGTACATATATTATACGCCTTTACTCCTTACATATTTTCCCTCATGATCCATGTTTAGTTTCCATGTTATTTTTTCTTCAAACGTTCTACATCCATAAATAAATACTTTACCCTTAGTGAGTAAAACATTATTTTGGTTCATAAGTTGAAGATCAGCAAAATTAAGTACCTAATGTTATGGGGGAATAAAATCGTAACTAATTCTATAGTTTTAACACTACATAATGAAATATACATTAGTGTTTAACCTGTTAAAGGAGGTGGTAGTAAATCTTGAGGTGATGGAGGTGGTGGTTGAGGTGTATGATTAGTCACAGTAGCAGCATTAGAAGTACGCCGTTTCTTTTTTGCTGGTGGTGGTGGTGGTGGATCTGGAGTCATCATCGGTGATTTAAACTCATTACCCATTGGCAACATTCTATAAAAGTAAATTAATAAATACACATTATAGTTTTTCAATTTTGATATATATCACTTATCAAGATATTTTATTTGATTAAAGATAATAATATAAGGACCCAATTATTTATGGAAATTAGAAATATAGATGTAAGAAATAAAATATTAAAATTATTATTAATCACAAGGTACTAGCCTTTAAAATATCATTTTTCAGTACCATATGAATGTTGATTTCACTTAACTAGAGACTTATTAACTTAACGACAATAATAAGATAAAGAACTATCTATTTTTAAAGATTGAAATCCTAAGGATAGTATAATTAAATGTTAAACTATAATATACTATGAATAATATGATCAAGGAGGTATAAATTAAATTATTTTAATAGTAGTCTAATTGAAATTCATTTTAATGGAGGGAAACTTTTGATACCATGTTAGTTTTTTTTATAATATTTTTTAACTTAACACAAATACCTTATTTAATTAATCGGCCCTTGTTTCATGAACAATTGTATATTGAATAAAGTAAATAAAATAGAAATATAGAGAATAATAATTTATAACTCCAAGAAACATGAATAAAAGTAGAACTAAAAAAAAGTTCTATTGATTCACAAATAAAATTATATTTTAAGCCTTAATAAATTAATTTGGAAGTATTAAAGGTGAATATCATCTAATACAGTCAAATCAAACAAAGTTATTTTATTTAAAAAATAGTAAGAATGATAAGTATAATTTTGAATTGAAAATATAATTTTAAGGTGGTATTTATCTTTTAAAAGCTTTACTTATTAGATAATAAAACTATACATACGAGCAGGGTCCACCCATTTTATTGAAATCATCTGGATAACAGTGGCCTCTTTGCATATGTGGTGGCATATCTTGACATTGATTATAGTATGGCATTTGATTACGGCCTCTTGGTAACCTGTAAGAAATATTACATTCACATTTGTACCTGAAGCGAATATGTTAAAATCACGAATAGTTACTTACGTGACATAAGGGGCCATGCCACCCATGTTGTGGCTCATCGCTAAAAGGTTTACCTCAGCGTATTAAATTCATCACAGCGATTACTGTAGATAAAAACCTATATAAAAAGGAAAATTTTAGAAAGAAAGTAACACTGATGATTTACAAAGTGTAAACAATAACACGAAATATATAAGTTTCAACAGTTTACTAAGTAAAATTTTCGGCAAGTGTACTCACAAAGATATTATGGTACGGATTTGGTTCTCGCTAGTGGACCAGAGCGTTGGAAAGATCACTGCACTGTTGTGCGCTAATGACACTTGCTGCCTACGCCATCGGCTGGTGATTATTTCCGTTTACGTTTCGAACGAGCAAAAACGTAATAATATGTATACGTATTTATATATGTATAACGACGATACGTACATATGTATGTACATACACACGCGTATCTCTCTACATATATATATTATTATTATTATTTATATATATCGAGACGACGCGCACGCACACACACACGCGCATTACACGGTCACGGAAAAAATTAAAGGAAAAAAAAGGGCGCACGGTACTCAATAGTCACAATGGCCGTCCCGATGTGTTTCTAACGAGTTATTCGACGGCGACGGTAGTTAATATTAAGTCGGACGAGGCGGCTATGTGGCTGGCCGGATTCTGTTGATGATCCGCGTCTCTCAAAACGACGAATGAGACTCGCGAGTTCGCAAAATGTTTATTAAAATATCGTGTTAACACGGTACGCAGCGAACAGAGTGGCGGCAGGCAACATAATAATAATAATAATAATAATAGTAATAATAATAATAATAATGAAAAATTAAATAAAAAAAACAATAGTATACACACGAAACAACGACGACAACGAAGACAACGACGGCGGTGGCGGAGACGGCGGCCGGGGGATTAGACGGAGATGAAACGATAATGTATGTGTACTGTACAAAGATACGGCGCGCACGATCTCCGTGTATACGCGCTATATTTAGTTGGACAAGGACGGAGGCAGACAGGAATTCCAAACGAAAACATCAATCGGCCGACACGATGTCAGTGACGTTGCAAGTGCGGTACGCTTGTAACATCCGTGACGGGCGCGAGAGACCATGGTTACCGTGGTCGCGTAACCGGCTCTCGAGCACCTCGTCCCGCTCGCCGCCACCGCGTTCAGGGTGTATTGATCTCTCAATCGGCCAAGTGCTTTTTCTCCCCACCGCCGCCGCCACCACGATACCAGCCGCGAGTCGAGCACACAGCTCTTTCCTCCCGCGACCCGTGCTCCTTTCACCACCGAAGTCCGCACCGGCCGTGCTGCATCCACAATACGATTACCAGCCACCTCCTTCGACCCGATCACCATCCGTCTGCCGTTTTTTCATAATTCATTTTCGTGCCCACACCGCTGCGCACAAACGACTTCGGTTATTATATTATTAATATTATTTTCATGGTATTATACCTTTTTCACACACACACACACACACACACACACACACTCATACTCACACAAATATAAACTTAGCAGTTTTAATATTGTTCAAAAGCAGGTATATAAAGGTTTTTTCTTTACATCACACATGTTAAAATATATATAATCATAATGTGTACTGCGAGCCTGTGAATTTGCTTTTTACCTGAAATCAAATAAAAACTACCCTCACATTAGTCAACGAAAGAATATTCGGTACGTGTAAGCCAGACACGAGGATCTAGAGTTTTTATGTGAGACGTGAGTTCGATATATATTACGACTATATCCGAGTTATTATTTTATTTTATTTTGTTCGTCTACGGGTTTAATGGTTTTTCAGCAAATCAGCGACGATCGTTCGCCCCACCTCGACGACCTCGTAAAAATTTGGATCAAAATGTAAATAAAAAAAAACAATAATAAAACAGGTTATTCGATGACGGTCGACTTGAAAATGTATAACGTGAATTATTATAAACATACATGCACATGTTATACGCCAGTGAATTGGTTTAGTAAACCTTATAAAATCAGTAGTTTTTTTTCATTTCAAAATTTAATATTGATATATGTAATTATATTCATAAGTCATACGACTATGAGAAATGGAATTCCATCCGTATCGCGATAAATTATAATTCAATGTCATTAATTAATGGACAATTATTAGTGATTTTTAGAACTACTAAAAGCAATATCAGAATCAAAATCAAATCTTATAATTATTAATTTTCTCTTTTTAAACATAAATATATACCAACTTTAAACTTATGTATAAAAAAAAAAGAATCGATGGTTGAAGAACGATCACTTATGCCCCTTGACTATGACATAAACACGAGTATGCCTAATAATAATAACTATTCATGAAAAACCAAACATTATCATTAGTTCTTTTGTAAAACATTGGTTTTTTTTCATCTGTTAAATTCTTATTCACCTTATAATTGTCAACGATTTACTACACGCTACAGTTTTTATTATTTATTAAACAAAATAAAATGGAAATTCGTAATGCTGTAGATTAATTTTGGTACAATAGGCAGTTTAATAATAATTTCCGGGTGGGTACAGATCTGACACTTGGTGTTGGTAGGTAAATGTATACGTGTATACTATGGTTTATACTAAAGGTACGGTATGGTAGGGTAATCGAAGGTGAAAGTGCGGGTGGACAATTCCACGGGTACCCAAACCGTACAATCTGCTCGGGTCGAAAAAAATCCTTTATATCTAAACACCTGATGTCCATGTGTTTACACAAAGGGCTTGAAAAATATTTATGAATTTACAAATTCAAAATATTTTTCGTACAAAACCGTCCCCAATTTGATGTGTTTTATTTTGTGGCTATTTATAAAAATGTAGCAATTCTCTTATTTCAACTTCTTTTTTTTTTTAGAAAACGGAACGGAACTACAAACTAACTATTTACATATAAATATAAAGATTTTAATTCGTTTAATTTTGAAATATTTTTTAATTAAATAATATATTAATAAATTATTATTAATTAAGTACAAATAACAATTATCTAATACGCCACAACGTATACACCTATACACATTGGGTATTGATAAACTACTATGCATTTATTTCCCTATCAATGTATATTATGTATTATAAAATGTATTGGTTTTTTAATTAAAATTAATTCCAAGTCTCATAAATGTGTAATACGTTTTACCCAAACCATATGGTTAGTAAACATTATAACATTATGTTTTATTGTATATTTATTTTCAATTATATGTATTTTTTTTAATAAATGTGAATATTTAAATTGTCGAGGTTATTGGTTTGAAAATGTTGAAGATTTTTTTCTTGTGAGAGTTACATAATTTATTCAAATTTTAAAGAGCATGTAGTATAATACCCGTTGTCTTGGTATATAGAATATTTAGGTATAATACTGCATGTGGCGAGTCCACTAACAACATTATTGGCGTTAGTATGTCCGACCGGTTAATCACAAAAGATAAATATGTATATTATGAACATCTATATAAAAATATAATAAAATAAAAATCTATCTTATTATTGGAGTACCTATTCTCCTATATTCGGGGCAATCTATTTCGTAATTATATTTATTATTTTAAACAAGTATTTCATGTTTTATATTATGCTAGAAATAATTATTGTGTTATATAACATATAGTTTATTATAATTTATAAAGAAATCAAATAATAATTGTCTGATTTTAAGACATTTATTGAATATTGATCATTACAGATGATTGCTGAATATATATATATATATATGTTAATAATAATAATTATACATGTTTTTTGTGGTTTTTTAACTTGAAAGTAGCAAATTAATGTAGGCATAAAATACTTTATACAATTCAAAAAACTTTTAGAATGTATTATAGAATTCTATAGAATACTGACTAGAATACTATAGTCTACTGTGTTTGCACAGTATACAGTCTAACGGGTGTTACCCATTTGTACTAAGAAAAAAAATAATTTTTTTTGGGTACAGTCCATTTGCGCCATATTTACATGTACAAACATTTTCCATCAACGATTTCGTCTAATTCAAATATTTTAAGGATGCCCTCCTATCTGTAACATATAATAACGTTTTTTTTTATAATTATAAAAAGTAAAATTTAAGTCCTGTGAATATACACAAATAGTCAAATTTTATTACAATTAAAGATAAGGATGATTCCTTTAAAAAATCTTTATTTATTATATTTATTTTAAAAACAAATAACTATTGACTATTAATAACTATTTTAACTATCGACTATGATTTAAATTAAATTGTATAGTTGATTATTATTTAAGAAAAAATATATAACTTTATTATTACTATACCAGGTAAATTTTACGCAAATGACTTGTCGGAAAAAATTCACCTTTTTATTTTACTGAAAATGGGCAAATGTACCCATAACGAATTAATTTTTTTTGGTGAAATAGGCGATGTTCAGTTTAACAAACTACACTATGTTGTATAAAAATATCAACGCCTAACTAATTGTATGGCAATATAACTCAATGAATAACATTATTATTAATACTTATAATCTAATATTAGCATAAAATATAAAACAGTGAATATATTATACTCTATAGTAAAGTATCATAAATTCATAGTCATAACTTATTTTTGACGGGTCCTGATTATATAATGGATTTGAGTTTGAAAAATTGTATTTTAAATATTTCTATCAATTGTTTACCGACAAAGTTTACTCATAACCGTTTCCCGGCTGCATTCAATACAAATTCAATGCTTAACGGCTAATTACACCGGCTATTACACCGATCATCGCATTATTACAAAATAAGATTATGCAACGTATATACACATTCAAAAGTGAATTTTTTAACATGTGTCGAACGATAAGGGAACACAACACTTAATAAATCTTACTTGTCCGTACTTTTCAATGGTACTTCATGATTTGAAAAAATCTTATTACGACTTATTCGACTTTCTTATGGTTAGGTTAACTGTTGGGTTTTTGTGGTTGGTGAATGACGGAAACAGAGGACAAAAAATAAGTATTTAAAAAATCTTTTATGTACGCCCTGCAGTCATTCAAGATTCGTTTAAATTTCATGAAGTAATTATCTTGTATTTTCGCGAACTACAATGAAGTAAGGATGCAGGTTGATTTTATGTTATCTAACCAACCCAGTATATTTTCGTGGGCATAACGCGTTTTAACGTTCAGTACCTATAATTATAATCCAACAAGCTGACATCGATGGGAGAAAAAGGATTCAAAAATACTGTTGCGTAGTGCAGTGCAACTTATCAGTGCAGCCGTTTACAACAGATTCACAAAACGATAACGACGACAGAAAAACGACAACCGTGTGTTATCAAACTTGTATTATCAATGTTTGTTTACAAGTAGATTTGAATTGTTTTGTTTTTTTCAAACGTGTTACCCTTGCTCGTTATTGCAACAATAATCAACGAGTAGCCGGCAGTATGTCTGCTGTCGTTGATTTTAAGTCTATAACAATAAATTGACGCGATAACTCGACCTTGGTAAGTTTACCCTGCGAAATGCGTTTTTGTTTTCATACTGAAACGATGACAAAACATAATATTATTGATACACGTATTGTATAGAATATCGTATTAATGTATTATTAGTTATTATTGTTACAATTTTTTTGTTACACACAACACGCACATATAGTGACTAACATAAACACATGTCACTATTATAAGACTAATCAATCGGTTATCTACGTTTCAGAGTTTATTAACCGGCTTATATTAAGTTACACTTCCTGCTCCGCAATCAAACACTACGTCGATCTTCTAGAGATTACTTGACACTATTTTTCTTTTCGCTGTTTTCATTTTTTCATTTTTAATAACATTCCCGCGTCATTCTATCATTGTCGAGATTCGTCTGTATTTATTTTTATTAGTTTATTTACTTTCTTACACACATAAGGAATAACGTGTATTGTTGTGGACATCGTATCTACGTATTAGTACGTAATTGGAGTACGATGAAATTGTAATATTTTTTTTACGGCCGACTGTTCGGAAACGGCAATTTTTATTTGTCGTGTGTTGTAATATTTTATTACTGGAGAACTCGCAAATAAGGCATGTTTAATTTTATATCAGAAGTGTGTTAAGTAATTTACAAGTGCAGGTCAGCAGTGGTATAGTGAGTCACTATATAATACGGACATAGTTTACTTGTAAGTATGTACAATATGACGTATTTAGTCAGTTTAAACTCAGTACGTATGGTTTTGTTTCGAAATGGTAGTAGAATATTTCTAATTAACAACAATATATAAAAATAATATCCATATAAACCATTATTATTTACGACTCTAAATTATATACGTTTAATATGGTGCTTCGTCATGGAGTACATTATTTTCAATCGTTGTTGCGTACGTAGTCTTGTATTACTATAGCAGTGATTGTTGGTCGTTGCTCGCTACGATAGATGTATAATATATTATATATTATAAATCCATGCTCGTTATCTACTCATTAGTCGTTAAATTTTAATACCTATATCCTATAACGATCATGGGTTGTTATCAACAAAATCGCAATGAACGCTGCTTATCATTATTATTATTATTATTATTTATTATGCTGTTCAGCTGATTTGCCTGCTATATTTATTTTCACGATCTGCATAGATAATAGATTCCGTTATCTACGCTAATAATTCGTCGGTATCACGCGGGTGTATAAAGTGTAAATAAATGTTTATATAGCTAGGTATTCATTCATTTTTCCGTAGCGTTTGTAAACTAACATTATTGTCAAAAGGAAAAGATACCGGTTTGAAAATAATGCCTTCGCCGATTATTATTATTATACTTTTAATTATCATAACTATTATAATAATTTTTTATAATTAATGTTTATATAATATTTTATAGAGATACTATGTTATAGAGATACGTCATAATGTTAGATTTTTGGTTTATGTGTGCTCTTAATTCCACTGTGTGTAGGGAAAACAAGTATATTAAGTTGATTATGCTTGTCTTTGATCAATGTATTATTATATGAACATGTGAACAAAATTATTTTTAGTAGATGTCGGCAGTTACTTTGTTAAACTTTTTTTTATTATAACATTTAGTAAACTAAGAGTTCTTATTTGAAAATGGTTTTATTTTTAAACCATAATTATTTAAACCTATCTAATATCATAAATACTTAGAAACTACTTAACACAATTCGTTGTTTTATATTCAGTTTCAAAGTACAAAATATAAATTATTGTTCAATAATTATTATGAATCAGCATTTTTTTATCGGTTGTAATAATTATGAATACCGCCGATATCATAACTATTCAGCTTTCAAAATTAATAAGTCATTTGAATATATTTTTTTTTTTAGCAGCTGAACGATAGGAGTAATTTCGTCTTAGAGGTATTTGTCATTTTCTAAATTATGATGATGTCTGGTTATTTTGAAAAATAATCAAAATTATTTTTATTTCTCGGTTAGCTTTAAAAAAGAACATAATTTGTAAATTTTGAATTTCTAAAAAAAAATTCAATTAACTAGGTACTTTTATTTGTGACTAAATAAATAAGTATGTGCATAAAATCATAATCACGAGGCGATCTTTGCTGAAAATATGATAGTTGTCATTTTCAAGCATTTTAAATTAAAAATAATTATAAATTACTCAAAAAATCTCTTACTAAATGGGTTTCTTAAAAATTATTTTACAATTTTTTTTATTGAATTTCTATTTTTTTTGTTGGATCTATTTGAAAAGTAAATATTTTAGATTATTTTTTTATGTATTGCACATTTTAGGTTGTAGGCAATAATTCATATGAGACATTCATTATGCCTGGAATTAATTATTTATTATTTTACTAAATCTACTATTATGTAAGTATTAAAGTGCTATACACCATATAAATATTATGAAAATCACGTAATTTATTGAAAAACGAAACAGTTTTATATAAATTGAGTACATCCGTAAACACCGTTTAATCTTATATTTATTAATAAATAACTCTTCTATTATTTTAATAGCGTTGTGTAATTTATGATAGATAACGTATATTATTGCATACACATATTTTATACTGTATATTATGAAAAAATGATTTGTTGAATGTTTTATTAAAATGTTTTATTGATCATTGACAAATCAGCTGGTAATTAAAATGGTATATTCTGACCTCTGATATCACTTTTATTTGATTATAAAATTAAAAATCAATTGATATTTTAAGAAATTTTTTAATAATAGGCGGCCATACTCTCTGTTTAACCCACGCGTAACAATATGAACTCAACTACCATGGCAAATTAAGTCATTCAGAAAATTTAATATTTCATATTTTACTAAAATATTAATAAATAGGTAGTTATTATTCAAAAAATAAGTACTATAACTATGACATATTTTAAAGTTAAAAATTTTAACAGTTGAATTGGGAAATATATTACAGTTCATCAATTTATCAATAATTCTTAATTTTCTTTTTCTTTCTTGTACTACTAAGTATCGATATTCTATTTTATTATGCTTTAAAAGCACTCTAATTTGATAATGATATAATATATACTTTTTAAGTTCAATAAATAAATACAAAGGAGGATTAAGAGGTATCTGATCCAGTATATTACAGTAATAAACAGCTTTTAACAATTTTCCAGAGGTATCATTTTGGTTTAGGGAGGAGGGTATATTTTTTTAATTTTTTAACCAGAAAAAACTGCTCACTTCACTCGCAAAGAAATGAACACTTACATTTTCTATTCATTAACTAAATCCACTATAGCTACCTATTTTAAAATTTTTTTGATAACTGAAGTAAATACTTTTACATTTTAAAAAAAAGACAGAGCAAACAATATTTGTGAATAACAATAGTTTTTGTTATAATATTTTCAAAATTTGCATTTTTGGCTGTGGTAAATTGCACATTTCAATTTGTTGTGATGTGATCATAGGCGTTTTTTTTACTTTTAATTTTACTAATTTTTTTAAAGAATACAATTTATATTTATTAATTATTATTATGGTGTACATTTTAAACTTATAAAATTTGTTTTTCTCTTTTTAAGACTATCGTTTCCATCGATTATTTCTTAGACCATTTAAATACGGGGGTTCCACATAATTTGGTAGTGGTTAAATGAATACGCATAATGACGAGGTAAATTGCTCGTGAGCAATTAAATTGCGTAAACAAAAATAGTACAGATTAAAAAGCGTGAAGTTAATGTATAAAATAAAATACAATATAATTTCGCACTATTATTATTAATTAAAAAAAAAAAAATATATAGATTTAATGATCTAAATATATGAATATAATTTCTAAATGTATTATCACCAAATAGTAAAATATCTTCTGAATCTTCTGAATATTTTTTCTGGAGACTCAAACTTTTAATATGACGCCAAAAATATTTACCTAAGTGAAAAACAACGTTTGATTTGTGTGTCTGAGTAAACTTGTATCACAGCATTATGGTGATCTTTTCAAAATTTCACATAAAAAGTTTTGATTTAAATTTAATCGAATTTAATGCTACAAACATTCTACGACATGTATCTTTAAATTTATCGGACAAGATAACGTTAACTAATGGCATCAAATTTGTATTTATAGTACCTACTATAAATTGAGTATAATTGAGCGAATAATTTTGGAGCGCATGAAAATGTGCCATCGGCAAACCAATAGTGGCTATTTTGTAATAGTATTAAATTGTTTAGGATTGAAAACATACAATTCATTTATCATCATAATATTCATCATAGCTATCATATAAAAAAAGTTTTCACCACTTACAGTTTTCTTTTATACATCCGGAATACTAAAATTAGTTCATGTTGCAGGATTAGTGATGCTGAACTATTTTGTTTCTTATACATTGTATAAATCGTTTTAATTGGTTGATTGGTGGTAGTTTACGTCTTCCTATCATTCGCATTGTTCTCAACTATTTGGGGTGGACCACTCTTGTCCTAAACCTCCATCGTCTCGATTTTTTACATTCTCTACGCACACACCAATGGTCCTCATATCATTCTCAATCATATACAACCATCCATTTCTTGATCTTCCTCTTCCTCAGTTCTCTTTAACGTTCATAATAACTCCTACTGCATTTTTTTCATCACATGCCCAAATATCTCAGTCTATTTTCTCTTTTATCCATTATAGATGCTACACTAATATTACTCACATATTCGCAGTGACGTAACTGGGAAAAAACCCAGGAGGGGCAATATAATATATTTATTATTATCAAAACCCTGACACCTCTCCCCCTCACCATTTAAAATATATTTTTATTGTATGTATTTTATACACTATATCTAATTGTTTGATTTTACATAAGTCTTTTAACTCATTTTATGGTTTAGATAAACATAAATTGTAGGTAGCATGTACTAGGTACCATTATTGTTAAATAATATCCATAAGAATTCATTAATAAAAGGTGCTATTTGTACTTTTGGATTATTTGGGGAGGGGCAAAATTATACCTTTATCTCTCAAAAAATGGTCAGAGGGGGCATTTGCCTCCCCTTTCCTCCCACAATTACGCCACTGCATATTCGTTCCTTATTCTATTATCTTTTGTCACTCCACTCATAGCATTTTCATTTCCGCAACATTCATACTTTATTATTATTCTATGTAAGTACCTATTCTCATTTTATACCTATCTTAAGATTTAACCCTGGGCGCAATGTTCCTACACCGTTGACATTATCCGTATTGGGTAGACTTGAACACATAACTGGTAAACGAGCTACCACACTGGCTAACTGTAAATTATAACTACTCCAAGAATTGTATGCGTGGTTAATTGTGATGTTTTAGCTACTTCATTTACCTCATTGAGTAACTCTTTGAATTTTATTTTTGTGGCATCTGGTACATGAGTATGATCAGTGTATTTAATGACACTGTCACCTTTTCTGTGAACACGACCACGCCAATTTAACTTCTTATAGTCATTACATTTTCAAATAATTTTGTCATTGCTATTCTTTTCTATTTGATGAATAAAATGGTTATAAACTAATATATTTTTCCATTTTTGATTTAACACATACTTTATAGTAAAAATTATTTAACTTATTTAATAATTAAATAAAAAAAAAAGTATATATATATATATATTTGAAATAATATATTTACCATATACGTGAAAGAGTAAAAGTTTACTGATT